CCTGACCTTTGCTGCCATTTAAGTTCAGCTCCTCCTGTGCATGCTCTCCCAGGCCTCCCTTCAGCTCAGCGATGCTGTTCTAGTAATTCCCTCCTCTCTGTCCTAAATTGTTGATCTTGGTCTCCCTTCTGCCATCCCCAACAGTATATGAAGACATTATCATTTTTCTATGACTGTTCTCCTTACTCCCAATTCCCCTCTAGTTACTTCTCCATTTTCTTCCTTCCTTTCTATCAAAACTCTATAAAAAGAGTTACATATTTTATTTCTTTTTTAAAGTTTGTTTTTATTAATTATTTTTTGTATTTCATACAGAATATCTCAAACAATCTGAATCATCTTTATAGCCCTGTCCCCACCAGAACCCTTCATAACCTCCTCCCACTGGAGCCCATATACTCTGTCCTAGGTATTAAGGTCCACTGTATCAATTCTGTGTCCCCAGTACAAGCCCATCCACTTGTGGTCTAGTCAGATCCCTCTTTTCTATCTATCCAAACACCTATCATTTTCTTTAACAGAGCATAGGGTGTTGGGTTAGAGTTATGTATTTTATTTCTAATCCTCCTGTTCTCTGGTGGCCCAGTCTCATTGGACTGATCTCTTTCATCAAAGCCACTGCTAACTTCATGTTGCTGTAGCCAAGGATCAATTTTCATTCCTTCCATCACTTGCCCTGTGGCAACCTTTGCCCAGCTGACAACTCCTTCATAGAAACTCAGCTCCTAGAATGAGCTCCTGGTTTTTCCTGAGACTCACAGATCACTTCTCACTTTCTTTGGCTTGCGTTGTACAACATCCTCAAACTCAGCTCTGGACTGCCCAGGAATTTGTCCTTAGGCCTCTTTTCTAGCCACACATTCCGTGATCACGTTAAATACTCTCTGTACCACTAACAACAGTCGTGTTTATGTTCCATCTCAGGCTTTTCCCTTGAACTTTGTATTTGTATACCAACTGCCCCAGAGACATCTCCACTGGACTTCTAATAAGTATCTCTTGGCATGTTTGAAACTGACCACATCACTCTCCTCCTAACCCTAATTTGTCTGGTTGTCATGTGCATTTGGCTTAGTGACAAGTTCATTGCTCAGACCCTAAGTTACATACTCAGCTACTTTGATTGTTCTCTTTACCTTACGCTGCATCCAATAAGTCAAGTCTTGCTGGCTCTGCCCCTAAAACACAACCAGAATCCAGCTTCCTCTCAGCATCTCGGCTGCTCCCACAATGGTGTGAGTCACTGTCCTGCCTGAATTGTTGGACTGGCTTCAGATCCCATCTCCTTTACCCTTCACCATCTATTTACCACAGAGTAAGCCTTTTAAAACATTAAGCTAGCTGGGCATGGTGGAATACACCTTTAATCCCAGCACCCAAGAGGATCTCTGTAAGATTCCGGTCAATCTGTTCTATACACTGAATTCTAGGCCAATAGTGAGCTCCAGGCCAACTGGGGCTACAGAGAGACTCTCTTTCTCTCTCTCTCTCTCTCTCTCTCTCTCTCTCTCTCTCTCTCTCTCTCTCTCACACACACACACACACACACACACACACACACACACAAACCATGGGAAAAAAAACAGGCAAACAAAAAACACTAAGCCATCATGGGGAAATTTTACAAGATTCTACAGAGCTATAGGCAATCAATGAGCACAAGAATGAGTTCCCTGATGGATTATCCAATCCCACGTAGTCAGTCATAACACATGTACATGTGAGGGTCACTAAATAAAATCAGTAACTCTCTCTCTCTCTCAACAATAATCAAGGAAGAGGTCACAAAGTCAAGAGGGAATGGGGGGTGGGAGGGTGGTATGAGAGAGAACGTAAATACACTGCTCATGTATGAATTTGTCAAAAAATAAAAAGTTAAAAACTAAATAAAAAGATATTCGTATGTCTGCTTAATTTTTATTTATTTTAATTTATTTTTATTTTATTTGTATGAATGTATTGCCTACATTATGTAAGTATGCCCTTGTCTTACAGTGCCCATAGAAGACAGAAGAGGGCATCAGATCCTCTGGAACTGGAGTTTTGGATGGTTGTAAGCTGCCATGTGGTTGCCGGGAATCAAACCCAGGTCCTCTGTGAGAACAGTCAGTGTTCCTAACCACTGAGCCATCTCTCCAGTCCAATCTGCTGAATTAAAAAAATAATAAACTATGTTTCTACTAAAAATTACTCTTATTCTCCACGACGGTAGTCTAACAAGAACTGCAAATAATGACAAAACCAGGCGATATATCAAGATGGATGGGGAAATTGCAAGAGGTCCCACCTCAAAATGAAGAGCTGCAGGCAATCACCGGATGCCTAGGGAGAGCGAATCGGTTTTCTCCAGGGTCTAGCTCCCTGAGAGGCTACCTAACTCCAAGTGGGCAGGTACACAGGAGCACCACTGAATGAGCTCAGTGCATTATATCTATGTCTATATCTATAAATGTTTGCATGCATGTGTAACAATAATAATCAAGGAAGGGGCCAGGAAATTGAGAGGCATTGTGGGGGACATGGGAGAAGTTGGAGGAAGGCTGAGAGGGATGGAAATGGTGTAAAGACTATATTTGTGTACGATGGCCACAAAAAGAAATTAAAATTAAGACTATTTTGAGGGGCTGGAGAGGTGGCTCAGCGGTTAAGAACACTGGCTGTTCTTGAGGAAGACCTGGGTTCAAATCCCAGCACCCACATGGCAGCTAACAACTGTCCGTAACTTCAGTTCCAGGGGATCTGATAGCCTCTTCTGTCCTCCGTGGGCATTGCATGACATGGGTACACTTACCTACATGCAAGCAATACATGCATACACATAAAATAAAAATTAAAAAAATATATATATTAAAAAAAGAGCATTGGCTGCTCTTGCAGAAGATCCAGGTTCAAATTCCAACACATGGACACTAACAACTGTCTGTAACTCCAGTTCCAGGGGATCTGACACCCTCTTCTGTCTTCCATGGGCACTGCATGACATGGACGCAATTCATACATCCAGGCGATACACTCATACACATAAAATAAAAATAAATCAAAAAAAAATTTTTAAAGACTATTTTGAAAAAGAAATCATGATTTTTTTTGTTAAATTAGACTACAATTATATAATTGAAATAAAAATTTAATATATATGTTTATACAGAGCCTGTTTTGGAATGAAATTCTAATTAAATGCTATAGCTTAATGAAAAACATTATGTAGCTGAGCAAAACAGAGAGCAGCAGCAGGACCAAAAAGTGTGAAGCAGGAGTGAGCATAGTCAAAGTGTGCTGTGTACATGCACTCAAATGTCATCATGAAAGCTACTGCTGCACGCAAATAAGTGCTAGTAAAAACCATATTCTTTGTTACCACTACCTTTGCCCTCGGTTCTTGTTGAGCTCCGGTGACCTCATCGCTGTGACTAACTTCGATATCAGGGCTTTTGTGCACTTTGTGTTCTCTATGCCTGGAACAATTTGCATTAGATTTTCCGTATGACTCACACCTCTACCTTTTTCAGATTTTTGTCAAACGTCACCGTATCATCAGGTCTTCCCCTCCCCTGTTGGGAATTAGATACCCATTTTTTATTCTTTGGTACATCTAGTTTCTCTTCCCTAGTTCATTTTAGATGTACTCATCGCTACCTGATATGCCATGTACTTGTTTCCACCATCATGAAGTGGAAGTTTCACAAAGGCAAGGACTGTTGTGTATGTGTGTGTGTTCATGCATATATGTATATATATATATATACATACATATATATATATATACATACATATATATATATATACACACACACACACATGTGTATGCAGGCATGTGGAGACCAGAGGACAACCTCGTAGGTGTCGTTCTTTGGGAACTGTCCTAGTTAGCTTTCTATTGTTTTGATAAAACACCGACCCAACTAGCTTGGGGAGGAAAAGGTTTGTTTGGCTTACAGGTCCTAAAGAAGCCAGGCCAGAAAGTGAAGGGAGGAACCTGGACACAGAAGCTGAAGCAGAGACCATGGAGGACTGCTGCTTACTGGCTTGCTCTCCCTGGCTTACTCAGATACTTTACATAAACAGCCTAGGCCCCTCAGCTCAGGGATGGCACTGCCCATAGTAGGCTGGGCCCTCCTGGGCCAATTACCAATTAAGAAAATACTTCACAGACATACTACAGGCCAGTCCAATAGAGGACATTCCTCAATTGCCGTTCCTTTTTCCTGAGTGTGTCAAGTTGACGACTGAAGCTAATTAACACAGGAGTCATCTGCCTTATTTTGAGACATGGTCTCTCACTGGCCTAAAACTTGCTGAGTAGAGGAGGCTGTCTGGCCAGCAATCCCAGGGACCCATCCATCTCCACCTCTCCAGCTTCACAACTAGCTTTTTAACGTGGGTTCTGGAGATCAGACCCAGGCTCTCTTGCTTGCACAGCAAACAGTGTACTGGGCTATCTCTTCAGGCCCATATTTGGGTTATCTAATTCATCCATCCCCTTTCTGCTCTTAGAAGTGTCTGGAACATAGGAAGGATTTCATAAATATTCAACTAAAATGCTATTTTCTTTCCAGTTATGCCAAGGACTCTAGTAAACATGATTTTAGGCTGTTTCTAGTCTTTTGAAGAAACTCCTAATATCTAGACTTTGTTGATGCTGGACAGTCAAATCGTGAGTGGCTGTGATACGCTATTTTCCTCTCCCATTCTTAGTCCTTGTCATGTCCCTTCCAACTTGACAGTGGCGAAGAACAGAAGGGTATAAACAGGCATAAAACCAGGGTGTTTTAACAAACCATGTTCTAGTACAATCCTGCTTGATAAATTCTGCTTTAATCTCTGCACTGTTAGATGAAATTTGCCAGACTCAATTCCAGCCCCCACCCCAACTTCCTTCTTAAAACATACTCAGGGTTACAGTCTTTAGTAATCCAGGGGAAAATGACTTACTTTGAAAAGCAGTGAAAAACACCGCATTCCTTTGGCACAGGATGAAGACCAGTTCAGCTCTTCAGAGGCTGATCATTGTCTATTGTTCTCTAAATGGTAAACCACTCTTTTACACTGAGATTGTCAGCAACACAGCCCAAGTCTCTATCGGCTCCTAATGAATATGAAGTGAAGGGTTCTGATCTAGAAAGTGGTAAGTAATATCAAAGGAAACAAAAGACAGGTAGGAAGAAGACCAGCTTTATGTGATTCTGTACCCTTGAAATCTGCAGGGCAAAATGGGATGTCGGAAATGTGGAGGCTGCCTAAGTTGTCTGCTGATTCTGCTTGCGCTTTGGAGTATAATTGTGAATATATTATTGTATTTCCCAAATGGGCAAACTTCCTATGTATCCGGCAATAAGCTCACCAACTATGTGTGGTATTTTGAAGGAATCTGTTTCTCAGGTATCTTGGTAAGTGTGACTTTGGAGATTTCGATTACCAAATGGAGAGCTGTTACTAAGAATTGCCTTGTACGTAAAGTAATGAATAATGGAAAAATCGTTCTATTAACGTTAGTTTAAGGTTTGGGTGATGAGTGGGGGTAGGTAGCCCTTTGGATTTAAGGTATAGCTTTGCTTTTCGTAACCTACTCAGCAATGTAGCTTTAGCAAGGCAGGAAATGAGACCTTATGAAAGTTTGTGAGACACTGCCCAGAGAAATATTTTGCTGGAAAATATTGTGGTCCCTGTGTATCAGTTTAAGCTATTTAATCTCTAGTGGCATTACTCTTTCCAAATAGAATGTTCTGTCTGCACACGTGATTTCTCTAGCTGGAAGGAAGGTGGGGAGAAGCTTTAGAACAGCACAAAAATCAGAGATGTGGAAAGCCAGACAAACGTGCCTTCAAATGCAACTGTGTCATTTATGCCAGGAGACCTTTGACACATGGCTCAAAAAACTGAATCCCAGTGTCCTCATTTTAAAAATATGAATGATGACATTTTCTTTTTAAGGTAGTTTTAGAGATAAAATAAAATCACATAAAGTATCCAGGATGAAGAC